AAAAATTGACCCTTATGGCTGGTTTTGTGCTCCAGGGTCACATATGTTTAATTTACTCAAGATCAACTAAAAACATTTTGTTACTCAATGTTTAATTTAGTTCACTTAAAGATGGGAACATTGTTTTTAAAGACCTCAATGTTTATTGTGATGTCTTTTAAAACATCTAATCTTTTAAAAAATCTATCATAAATAAATAAACCAACCAACCCACGATCATTTCTGCGGTCAGTAAAACTAGTAAACCAGTATGTGTTTCGCACATCAACACACTATTTGAACAAAATTGTTTCTTTTAATTTTTCGATGAAGAGTGTTAATTGTTTTAGACACAATAAACAGAAAAGGTTGAATCTGAAAACCATGATTTTCCATTATTATCTGATTAGACCAATATGACATTGACAATAAATGACATTGTTTCAGTTTTTTTCAGTGCATATTTATAATGTACAGTGAGAACTAGAACATTAAAATAAGCAGAAAAAGATCGGATTTTCAAAGAAACTCAAGTTAAATCTACCCCTCCTCTCCCACGAATGCAGACTGAATATGCAAATTGAAATATGCTGAAATAATGCAGGATGACATTGTTCTCTAGGATTTGCACAGACCTGTGGAGTTTACTAAATATTAATCATGAAATGCATGTAAATGTGCAAAACAAGCACTATATATGTGGTAAATATTACGTTTCATAGAGGTGGCGTGATTTAATCTCTTTTATTGCTTGCATCTGATTTATTGTCTGATTGTTTTTTTTAGTATCTACACCTACAAAACCTGACGGTTGATAATCATGCGTTTGAGAGGATTGATGACGTGTTCACTCCTCTGTCCATCTGTCAAGACTTATATCGACATGCTAACGTTTTACCAGCCAATGAGACTTTTGATATTGATCCACATGTAGAGACAGGTACATCATCATTTGTCATGATAACACAGCTGTACGATCTAATGTAATTACTGTGGTAAGGATGGCAGAAGTCATAGTTATTGCGCACAGTTTTCTAAATAGTAAACATCCACTGTCACATTAAGATGAAAAACCAAAGACTTTTGTGATAGAAGTTAAATGTGCTGTAAAATTAAATAACTTTTGGTCTTTGATTGATTTACTTGATTTGCAGAATGTCTTTGGATTTACCCCATTTCACTCTACAAGAAGGATGATTTGGAAAATGACATGAACCTCACTTTAGATTTTCAAAGGTGTGTGCATTTCATTTACTGTATATTTGAATCATTCATCATTAAATTCATTGAGTTTGTGCTTTATTTTTGACTTGACATTTGTGTGGTTCATTTCCAGGTTGTTAGCAGTAAACATCTATCTCAAGGTAAAGGCTATCAACCTTCAAACAGTGCGTCATAAGGAGTTACCGGACTGCTATGACTTTACCGTTAATGTAAGTGTTAAATGTCACACATACGTGTCTTTACGATAACACTTTGTTTTGTAAGTGTAACTTTGCATGTCAACTAGCAGCCATCTGCTTTATAACACTTTATTTTGATGGTTCAACAACACACATTCTACTGCCTAACTTTGCAAGTACATGTCAACTTATTCTACAAACCGAGACAAAAGAGTTCGATGACATGTTGCTGCAAATGTACTTATAGTTAGTAGAATGTCTAAAGTGCATGAAGTGCAACTGTCTTGAAACTCTTAACTCTCTGTTTGCCTAACATCCAAAGACAGCTGCTTCTGCTTTAGGTTTCAAAAGGCACATTTCCAAAAGTCCATTTACTAGTCATAACCACACAGTTTCCAGGATTGGTTAATAGAGGTTTGTCACATGAAGACTAGACATTTCCCTCTTCTCCTTCATTTTTGCTTCCATTTCTTTCATGTCAACTTATTTTGTTGATTTCATGCCGTTTCGTCACAAGCTCTCGAGGACTTTATTTCTCAATGTTAACCAGAGGATTTCTGACTCAGAGCTGGAATTCCTATTGGACAGGTTTAAGTTCATTTGATAAAGTGGGTAATCTGCTGCGTTCGGTTACAGATCAAGTTTGACAACCATGCACACAGTGGACGAATCAAGATATCTCTAAGCAGTGATGTTCAGATAAAAGTCTGCAAGGACTGGAAGGTTTCTGGCTCAAGTAAGTTGTGATATAGGACCAAAAATAGAACACACACACACACACACCTACCCACACACACAAACACACACACA